AACCCTGATTGGGATGGTGAGCTGGTAGTGTTCAAGGTACGACAGGAATTCCTCTTTGTAATCACAAGGTAGAACAGTCCAGGAGAGAGGCATGAAAGAGAAGAAAATGGAACAGAACCAAGCAGTAGTACAAACAATGCCACACTGTTAAACCCACTCACTAGCATAAGGGAGGTGAGGTACTGGTAAACAAATCATTCAGAAAAAAATATATAACAAAGAGGGGAAATGGATAAAAGTTGAACAAGACCCTAATCATTTAATTTATCAAAATGATATTTATTTGCAGTGGGATGGGTTCAGAAGGTATATTAAGCATTAATGTTTAACAACCAGCTCTTGAGGGAGGGGAATGTATGCATGACACATTTTTAAAATTTAATCTGAATTATTGACATTTTCTCCATCACTTGCTTAAATCTAGACAATCCACAAAATAATAAATCAAGCCCTGATTTATAGTATTTTCTGATTTCTGAGGTGTAAGTACTCCCATTGGAAATTTAACAATTGGCTCTCAGGAGTCATATGGTGTTCCAGTACACTACTGGGTGAATTTCTCCCACACCAATTTCTTTCTAATTTTTTAAGTGAATTTGAGAGACCTAGTTGTGCTATGTGCATGAAAACTTTCCATCAAAATTAAAGTAAACCCATTGGCAACCAAAGGCAAAATTGATTGGCATGGGAGTTACCCAATAATGCCTTGCAGAGCTAGCCAAAAAGTCTTCAGACTTACCAAAAAGTGACTAGTTCACAGTATTTACACCTTCCTTCACATACATTTCCCAAACAGTAGTTCTCTACTGTCCTTACCTTTCCCTGTGATGCCCCCCATTTCCTAGGCTAAGGGAATGCAAACACCTGCCCACAAAAAAATGCAATAAGTTCCCCTACGAGTATAAATTCTCGTGAAACCATAACTAAAAGGAAAGAGACAGGAAAGGGATGAGATGATATAATTTCCTCTAGACCAAATTACGTGCTAAAAGCCATAGTTCTAAGGGAAAGAATGGCATAGTGGGCAGAGTGCTGGACTTGAAGTCAAGAGAGCTGGGTTGGAATTTCCTCTTAAATCCTTCCTGGCTGTAAAATACAAAGGCACTCTCAGAGCCTCTTTTTTCTCATCTGTAAAATGGGCTTAATGATACTTGCTCTACTTACCTCACAGGGTCATTGGGAGGGAAGCATTCTGTCCATTTTAAAATGCTACATCCACGTGAGCTGTTCTTTCCATTACCTACTTTCTGACACCTTCATTTGGTACATACAAGCCTCAGTCTTGGCTCTGCTCTATAAAACCCTTAAAAATTTAGATCACTATCCCCTGAAAGACTTTCTTACTGAGCCCTCATGAAAACGAGGGTCGGAAAAGCATGCCTTCTTATAACTACCAGCATCAAACTGGTTCATGTAGCAAGGTGGTATTTTGCTCACTGCTTAGTAACATCAGCAAGCATAGATCAGGGACTTTATGCTATTTAAATTGGTAGAGATGAAGACTTGGACAGCAGACACCAGGCACAGAACTAACAGCATTAACTCTATAGCCTGGTATTGCTCACTTTACCCTTCACCTCTGTTGAAAGGGCCCTTCCATAATAAGAAAGTCCGTTTTATAGATTACAGGGAGCCAAGTACTCTAAAAAGGAAGGAGAGACTTATTGGCAATGACTTTTGCTCCACTGTCTAATTCTAATCCCTAGATTTAAATTCCTGGAAACTGGAAACAGAATCATTTTCAGCAGAGTCCAGACCTGAGAATCAAGATGTCCTTTCTTGTCCTTGTGTCCTGACTGCTCTCTAGACAGTAAAAATTCATCATCCTGCCTTCTGAAAGACCATGACCATCAGCCTGGAAAACTGGTCAGTCTTCTCTTAACAATGAAAGGCTGAACACTAGTGAGCTTGGTAAGCCCAATATTCTCCCTGTCCATCCCTATTCTACAAATCCTGCTTTACCAATTCAAACGTGGTAAACTGCATGGCTCATGCCTACTAACTATTGGCATATACAGGATGCTCCAAAGGTCTTCATGAAATTTTAAGCTCCATTCGCTTAAAAGTGTACTAAGACTTTTGGGATTCTGTCTGTATATCTGTATGTATAAACATACATACATATATACACAAATACATATACATAACATACACAGAAGGCAGGAATTCCATTTCTAAAATTTAGCTGCTTCTTAGTCTTCTTTGCCAGACTGAGTGCCCCTCTTTTGAAGAGGATACATTGCCAGAGTTTGACAAGAAGCAGGAACCAATATGGTGTGTGCGTGTGTGTTGTGTGTGTGTGTGTGTGTGTGTGTGTGTGTGTGATTCTAGGGGGATTTTTACCAGTTGCAAAATGAGGAACCCTACCTTAGAAACAGTATGAAAGCCTGGTGTCACTGTGAAATTCCAATGAAACTATGACGAAGCTCAAAATCCAGGTCAACGTCTTCCACAAAATTTCCATAATTTAGAAAAAACCGAATGTGTTGCTGGAGGGCTACCTACTTGCTAGACAACTGACACACCACTCCAGAATTGCAGCCTAACAGTTTTATATACACATATGTATATGTATACCTGTGTGTACATATAAGCCAATGTACATGTATATATACTTGATATATAATTCTGTGTTTCGTTACATACACACACACACACACACACACACACACACACACACACATACACTGATTCCTGCTTTTTGTCAAACCCTGCCATGTGTCCTCTCCAAAAGAAGGGCACTCAGTTTGGCAGAGAAGACTAAGAAGAAGTTAAGTTCCAGAAGTGGAATTCCTACCTTCTGTAAACATAATGAAGTCCTACAATTAATCTTTAGTGAATGCTGCAGACTACGGCTTATTATTCTTGACGCTCCCTGCATGAGAAGTCTCCTAGGACTTAAGGAGATCATTTATTCAATGCTCCCTAATTTGTGTCGTGACACTGGATAGGAATTCTGTCATATGGGTAATTTACAAAACTTTTTTTTTAACAGCAAATCCCACTCATGGACTTAAAAAAGAAAGTTTAACTTATAATAAAAGGGGAAAAAAGAGTGTCGCAAAGATTTACTCTTATAATCATACTTCTTACCAAAAAGACAATCTGCTTAAAAAGAAACTTATATAGGCTGGGCCCAGGCCTGTTGCCCTAATTTAACATCAGTTATAAGAAGGCTCGGCTTCAGTGGCCACATTCTCCCAAGACATTCTTCTTCATCTGCTAGAATGAATCACCACTACTCTGATATTGCATCAGATCTCTCACCGTTTGAAAAAGGAGGAACCCTACCTTGGGAGCGGTATGAAAGCCTGGTGTCACTGTGAAATTCCGATGAAGCCATGACGAGGCTCAAAATCCAGGTCAACGTCTTCCACAAAATTTCCATAATTTAGAAAAAACTGGATGTGTTGTTGGAGGGCTACCTACTTGCTAGAGAATTATCACCACTCCAGAATCGCAGCATAACAGTTTTGTTTGCTATTTACTGAAAATTTAGTTATTAGATATTCCACTTTTTAGCAGGTGCTTGTTTCCAACATCCTGTACTTTCTCCTCTCTCTGGATTCATTTTTTTTTCAATCCAAAATGAAAAAAGAAAGATAACGTTGTAAAAATTTTCATCAGTAAGGCATTATTAGGCTGGATAGTTGCAGAAGTAGGGCCATTTTTGTACCTAGAACACCCAAAAAAATAAAGTCAAAATACAATAATCTGGATGGACAGATCCACTGTATATGACAGAATGCTTGCCAAAGTACATAAATTACAAAATAACTTGGGGGAATTCAATTAGACCATTGTTGTTCTTTATAGTCTAAATAAACATCCACAAGACTAAACATGGAGCTAGAAACCTAAATGGTATTTTTATCTGAACAATGCCAGACCTAGTTAATAGCCAAAGAAGGAACCAAAAGAGGGATCATGATATATACAGATACATAGATATCTGTATACATATTCGTGTGTTTGTATATGTCTAAATCTCTGGGATGGGGCAGGATAATACTCACCCACTCTCATTTTTTATAAAATCTAAAACAAAAATTGCATGCATTTTCTAAGTCAGTAAAGTCTTAAGGGCAGATGGGAGGCAGTTGCACTCCATAACACACATTTTCAGTTCAATTCATATTCAGAGACTGTATGTATTAATTGTTGCACTCGGCGATTGCTATCGTTTCTCTGACAACGCACATCTGTAAATATAGAGTGACATATAACAGCTGCCTCCATACACCCGAACAGTAGCCCAAACTAAGCTGTTGAAAAGTTAAAAAACAGTTTACAGTAATCTCTCACTTATGTGGAGGTCACGAATCCAGCAACCTCAACTATCCATAGTACAAGCAAGCAAGCAAAAAAAAAAGTTCCTGAATGGTCAAAATGGCCATAAAAATCCATACTAATGCTCCTAAGAAGATAACTTCTTTCGGGCATTCTTTCTCTTACTTTATTGATGATTCTAAAACAAACTTGGTAACCTGGTTCCCTAGACTACAGATCAGAAGTTGTTAAATTCAAATAGCTCTTTGGGCTGCTGGAGAGAGAGAGACACACATTCACTGACAGCTAACAGAATGACAAGAAAAGAGAGAAGAGAAGAATAAGAAAGAGAGAAGAGGAAGGAAGAGAAAAAGGAGGGGGAGAAAGGGGAGGAGGGAAGGGGAGGAAGAGGAGAAGAGGAAGAGAAGAGGAGAAGAAGAACAAGAACAAGAAGGAGGAGAAGGAGGAAGAAGGAAGGAGAGAGGGGAGAGAAGAGAAGTCAAGAAACAATCTGGAATCATTCACTGCAAAATCAAATTGCCTTACACATCTAAATAGCACTGGAAGGTATCAGGTGTCACTATATTACATTATATTAAACTATATTACATTATATTAAGTTATCATAGGGCTATGTAAGTCATAGGGCAGCTAGATGGCTCAGTGAATAGAGTGCCAGGCCTGAAGTCAGGAAGACTCTTCTTTCTGAGTTCAAATCCAGTCTCAGACACTTACTAACTATGTGACCCTGGACACGTCACTTAACCCTGTTCACTTCAGTTTCCTCATCTGTACAGTGAGCTGGAGAAGGAAATGTCCAACTATTCTTTGTCAAGAAAATCCCAAAAGGGGTCAAGAAGAGTTGGACATGACTGAAAAATGACTGAACAACGTATAAGTCATCTTTATGATGATGAACTTTGAAAAAAACATTAGATTATGTTTGGATTGCTCTGTTTAAGAAAGCAGGGAAATGTCAGATACACTCTAGAAAGATTTCCATCCAAAATAGTGAGAATAAAAAAGTCTCTGGTATATAAAGAAATAGGCTTCCTTTATTTAACTGAACACACATTTGGAATACCTCACTCCTTGACTATGTCTCAGAGTAAATACACTGAGTGCTACAATACATAAAAACAACCATGACTATCAGAAAATTTTCATCCCTGTTTTTTTAAATGAATTAATTCAATGAATAATAATTACGACGATGATAGCTAACATTAGCACTTCAAGGTTTGCAAAGTGTTTTACAAATAATATCTCATTTAATCGCACAAAAACCTGGGAGGTAAGTGTTGTTATTATCCCCATTTTAGAGATAAGGAAACTGAAGGCAGAGGTGAAGTGACTTGCCCAAGGTCACATAGTTAGTAAGTTCCTGAGGTTGGACTGAATTAAGGTTTTCCTAACTCTCTTTCCAATACTCTATCCACTGTATCACTAGCTATCTAAACAATTATTTTACCACCTCTGCATCTTTTTAGTTTTTTTTTAATTTAAGGAATGTTTTCACATAAATAATCTTATTCAATTCTTATATGGTAGGCATGGCAGATACTATTAGCCCCATTTTAGAGAGGAGAAAACTGAAGCTCAGAAAAGTTTGGTGACTTGCCTAAGATCACAGATAACTGCTAAGAGGCAGGACCAGGACTGTTATCTAGTGTTTTGTTTTCTTTTGTTTAAAACCACATGGCACTTTCTCGTATTTATTAGGAATCTATGTGCAAAGCATCATGAGAATACAAACAATGATAGCACACATTTATATAGTGCGTTAACATTTACAAAATGCTTGTATTATAATAAACTTGCAAAGAAGAATTCTTCCTCTACTGAAGGAAAAATGGCATGTACACAGGTATGATGCAAATTGAGATAGGGTGAGAGCAAAGGAGATATTCAGACTAAGTTCTTGAGGAAAATGTGAAGAGGACTAGAACCCCTTTCAGTGGAGGGGAGGAAATCAGGTGCAACTTCCATGGAGGTATTTCAAAGGGAGCTGGGACAGTGAGCTAAAGAGGGAATGAATTTCAGTTATGGGAGATGAGGATATGATTAACATGGGAGGTGGCAGGGCAAGATCAGGGAATAGCTAGCAATCCATTTGGGATGGACAATGGGGTCTGGGAAGTGACGATGGAAAATAATGCTGGAAACACAGGTTGGTGTCAGACAGTAGAGGGCCTTAACAGGAAACCACTGATGGTTTTTGAGCAGAGTGACATGGGCTGACTTGTCCATGGGTTGTGTGAAAAACAAAGTTGGAGATAAGAGAGACTGGAAGCCTGAAGGACCAGTTAGGAGGCTCTTGCAAATGGTCAGGCAAAGACCTAAACTAAAGGAGGGAGAAACATCATGGAAGGAGAATCAGCTTTGTAGGATGTGGGGGATGGAACAGGGGTGGGGGAGAAGAGGTGTGAAGGAAAGCAAAGAGCCAAAGAGGATTTTGAAATTTCAAGCCCAGGTGACTTGAGAGGATAATGGCACTATCAACAGAAAAACTGAAAGAAAATAATGAGTTTGTGGAGGTGATGGGCATCCAAGTGGAGATGTTCAACATGCAGTTAAAACTGAAGGACTGAAGTGAAGAAAACAAAGACTCATCTGCACAGAAAGAATGGATGAAATCACTGAGGAAGTCAGGGAAAAGAGAAAGATAGTAGAAATACCACTATCCTCATTTTATAGATGAGGAAATTAAGATTCAGGATGTTAAGTGATTTGCCCAAGGTCACACACTGTGTCACAGAGCTTGAACCCAAATCTGACTTGAGTCTCAAGTTCAGTATTCCAGTGCACAACACTGCCTTCACTTAAGATTAATGTCTCTTGAGGATGTAATCAGTTTTCAGTAGCAACAAATAATATTATCTTGAAATCATTTTCTCTGAATTAGATGATACAATTCTAATTACTCATAATAATTATTATCTCCATTTCCACTTCACAGAGGGAGAAACTGAGAGATAGAATTACTTTCCCTGCCAAACAGGTATTCAGTGACAGAGTACAGAAAAAAAAAAGAAAAGAAAACCACCACCACACATTTTGGTTCCCAACCCATTAGAAGATACTGCCTAAATGAACATAATGTACCAATGTTTACCATCTAATCATGTTAATTCTCTGAGCCTCAGTTTCCTCATCTGCTAAATAAGTATAATATAATAAGTACCCATCTCTCACAAGGTTATTGTGAAGATCAAATAAGAGGTGTATAAAGAACTTGGCCAAACTCAAAGCACTATAAAAATGCCAAGTATTGCTATAACAAGGTTTTAAAATGTAATTAGTGTTACAGGAATAATGTACATTAATATCCACTCCTTTCTAAATCACTAAACCACTATGGTATTTTAAGAAATTCAGTGATACTTGAGGATAAGTCCCTTATATATACACATGATGTTACTGAGCCAAAATCAGAAGATTAAGCTTTTTCTAGTAGTTTTGATGGGTTTATTCTGATTCATCTATACTTGATCTCCTATACCCTGAACCTGTGACTATTAACACAAATTTGTAATACAGCTAGTCAGGATTAAATGAATGGAAATGCTCCTCTACACCAGAAGCCAGGTGTCATAGTGGATAGAGCAATGAAGCTGAACTCAGGAAGACCTGAGTTCCAATCTGGCCTCAGACATTTACTAGCTGTGTGACTGGAAGTGAGTCACAACTTCAGTTTCCTCAATTATAATTTGGAGGTAATAATAGCACCTGCCTCCCCAGGTTGTTGCGAGGATCCAATGAGATAATATTTGATATTAATAATAAGAATATTGCCAGCAGCTGTGAGGATAAGTCTAATATGCAACTGTTTCCCAACTGCACTACTTCCAGTCCCAGTAGAATGTAAATTGCTCTGAGGACAGAGACTATTGGGGAAGGTGGCTGTCTCTGGATTCCCAAAGCCTGGTACAGTGTCTTGCACAAAAGTAGTCTCTTAATAAATGTTGGTTAGGGGCAGGTAGGTGGAACAGTGGATAGAGCACCGGCCCTGAAGTCGGGGGACCTGAGTTCAAATTCGGCCTCAGACCAAACACTTGACACTTACTAGCTGTGTGACTCTGGGCAACTCACTTAACCCCAATTGCCTAAAAAAAAAAGTTAATAAATGTTGGTTTAGTTGAAACAGACTCACTGTGCTTTCAGTTTAATTACTAAATCCTCATGTCTAGTGACCTTTGCCTGGAGATCTCAGGAAAATTAGCACTTAGTGACTAAGTGCTGATGGGAAGAGAAGGAGGGGGAGAGGTTTAGCCCTCCTCAGCAACAATTTAAAGCTTTTCCCATCTAGCTGCTGTTGGGAAGCCACAAGACGGAAACTAACAGGTCATCCTACTCTCCAGTGGGCAGGTGTTTCCCTCCCTAAGAAAAATCACCCTCATAATTGCTACTCTCCAGAGCCTGATTGGCCTGGGGGCCATCAACAGATGAATAGAGACATTGAACTTTCCAGATGTGGTGTCCACAGGTCAAAGATCAGATTGACATGAAAGGACAGGAGAAGAAGATTCCACTGATCATAATATAGCAGCTCTTTGCGTAACAGCTGCAGTCATCCAACCCATCTTCTTTCAAAGGAAGAGCTAACCTTCCCTTCAAATAGGTCACCCTGAATAGGTTGAACTGTATAAGCACCCATGGCCTCTTGGCCCTCTCCAAAATAAAAAGGTACGAAACAATTTTTCTTGGCTTACACAAATCCATTAAGTCCAGGTAACTCTTGAAGCAGACAAGAACCTCAAAGGAGCTGATTCTGTTTATGAAGAACTCCATTTACAAAATGCATAAAGTCACCACAAATCATCAGGCCATAAAGTTAAGGCGTCACTTACTTGTTTCCCTAGATCAAAGCTATACCAGCTAGATGGGAAATGAGGTGAGATAAGCTGTTGGTAAATGTCTCTCTAGCCTCAGCAACCTGCCTTAAGAAGAGAGCATTTGTTGTCAGCTTCCGATGACAAATCACCTTTCCCTTCCCTGGTAACTTCCTGCTCACGCTAATCAGAGTGTAGCTGAGGTCATGGCTTCCTCTCATGAGCTATTAATATGCAGCTAAAGCAACAGGTAAACCACTCTCCTAGGGGGCTTCCTTCCTCCATTCTCACCCCAGGATCTGATTAGTATGGCAACTGGTGTCCAGTCATTCCTGGGGTCTCCAAAGTGGAGAAGATAAAGTTGCCACTCCTTGACAGCTTTTTCTTTTCCAATACTTATTTACTTATTAATTGTGTTTTAAAGTTGGCTTCTCCTTATTTAGCCATCCAAGTACAAAGTTCTCCTCCTTTCTTTGTAAACCTTAAAAAGCTATCTCCCACCAAGCACGAAATGCAGGTGAATGTGCAAAAAGAAAAGGGCTTTTGTACAGAAAGTCATCATTCAACTACAAATAACCCTAGACTTTCCTTCCAGACAACAAGGATAACACACATTTTCCACAACTCCTGTCTGCAAAAGAAACCCCCACCCCCAGCCTGGTCAGCTACACATGGTTGACTGTCAAGATAGGCTTTTGGGCAAAAACTTGTTCTCAGAAGGTTGTTTTCTCTGGAACTTAAGTTCAACAGAAACGATTAGGCATATTCGCTTCTCTCTCTCTCTCCCTCTCCCTCTCCCTCTCTCTCTCTCTCTCTCTCTCTCTCTCTCTCTCTCTCTCTCTCTCTCTCTCTCTCTCTCTCTCTCTTTCCTTCTATCATGTAAGTCAGAGATGGTGAAA